TTTTTTTTTTTTTTTTTATAGGAATGATGTTGATGGGAACATTATCTGTAATCTACATGCAGTTTTATTTTGTGCAATTACTTTTATGTGATTATTTCTCAATATATTTTTTAAAATGTATGATAACTTTTCTTTTTGCCTATCTTTAAATATTTTTGAGCCATGCAGATTGGCTCAAAATTTTAGTATTTTAAATACTTAAATCTTTTAAATTATGCAATTCTTATCTCCAAAGATGTTTACATCAAAAGTCATCATACAACTTTTTAATGGAACTGTATGTGGTTCTTCTTTTTCCCAAGTACACACATACTCCTTTACTTTGTCTATAAACTCAGATAACCTAGAGCTATATCTGCCCAACATGAAGAGAAGAGAATTAATGTTATTATGTGTCTACTATGGCATTTTGAGGAGCTCTGGTGGTGTAGTGCCTAAGACGTTTGACTGCTAACCAAAAGATTGGCGGTACAAACCCACCAGCCACTCCTTGGAAGGAAGATTGGGCAACCTACTTTTGCAGTGATACTACCCAAGGCGGGGTCGCTATGAGTTGGATCTGATTCAACGGCAGTGAGTTTAGTTTGGTTTTGGTTTATGGCACTTTATATGTATCAAAGAACATAATTTCACAAGAACTTTCTGAACTATTATTATAATCAACCTTAAAACTATTACTAGTAATATGGTTTATTGAATTACTTTTTTTAACAACATAAGTAGATTAGATATTATATATAGTTTGCAAAGTGTAGAACTATAGAAATTAGAAAAGCAGAAACAGAAAAACAAAAATAAACTCAGAGTAGCACTACTCACGGACAATCCCTATTGATATTTTAAAATATTATCTCTTGGTCTTAGGAGCTTTGGTGATGTAGTGCCTAAGCCACTTGACTGCTAACCAGAAGCCTGGTGGTTCAAACCCACCAGCCACTCCTCAGAAAGAAGGTTGGGCAATCTACTTCCGTAGTGATACTGCCTCCAAAACCCAAGGAGGGGTTGCTATGAGTCGGGTCTGACTCGATGGCAAACAACAACATCTCTTGGTCTTATTTGTAATTCCCAATGTTTACTTATTTATTTATGTTAAAATCAATGTTATCATATGATTCTTCCCATTTTACATATTCTTTAACTTTAATAATACTCTTTCATGTTTTAGAGGAGCTCTGATGGTGCAATGGTTAAAGCATTGGGCTGATAACCTACCAGCCACTCCGCTGGAGAAAGATGAGGCAGTCTGCTTCTGTAGAGATTTACAGCCTTAGAAACCTTATGGGGGCACTTCTAGTCTATGTCTGAGAGCAGACATAGTCACTATGAGTTGGAATTGACTCAATGATCATTTCATTTTCATTTTAGGTTTTTCATGTTTTAATACATTTTTCACCAGCATTATTTCTGAAGGCTACATCACTTTATGGGAGCTCTGGTAGTGTAGTGCCTAAAGCATTTGACTGCTAACCACAAGGCTGGCGGTTCAAACCCACGAGCCACTCTTTGGAAGGAAGGTTGGGCAATCTACTTCTGTAGTGATACCACCCCAGAAACCCAAGGAGGGGTCTCTATGAGTCGGATCCGACTCCACGGCAGTGAGGGGAGGGGGTAACTAACATTACCCAGTTACCTATTATTAATGCTGCTTTCAGTATTTAATTATTAAGGATAATGTTATAGTTAACATCTTTGTGCATTCAGCTTTGTATACTTAAGATTTTTTTTCCTAAGGATAGATCACCAGAAGTGGAATTACTGGGTAAAATATATATAACTAATTTTGTTTGAGGTAATTGTTTTTATTTCTATTTTAAAGATGTGAGTATTGTCTGACTTTGTCCATTGATGTAATCCTAGAACCTCCTTATAGGCTGTCATTTGGTTAGCACTCACTATGTATTTCTGAAAAAAATGAAAAACAACCTGCTAGAAGTGGGGGACAGAGATGACATCTGATATTTCATCAGTAAAAGGTTGCATTTCTTGACGATGGAAGGAAAGCTTTCTGGTTGTTGTAGACCTTAACAATCGTGTAAGCAAAGTTCCCAGCTTCCCTTCATGTGCCCATTTAAGCTTTATGTTGGATGTAAAAAGGAGAAAGCTGGGAATTGCCTAAAATAATTTCAGCATTGAATCAAAACAACCTTGAACTACGGGCAAAATTAACATATCTATTTGGAATATACATTTTTAAAAGTCCATTTATTTTGACTGTTTAATTTGGTGAACATTTAAAATTGTTGAATGACTTTAAAGAAATTATATATATATATATATATATATATATA